CCACGCCTTTCATGGTGCCTAGATCCTGTTTTATGCATAAGTTTGTGCCTAGTTCTGTGTAATGCATTGCCACTTAACTTTAACCCATGTCCCTAGTTTGATATCAAATAATGCTGGTTTTATTAACACTCTATTCTGTCTCTCTTGAACATTTTGGTTTGCTCACCATGTGTGCATGGAGTTTCTATCTATTTTGTACATATTAGCCAGTTCCTTGATACACTTGGGTTTTCGAGTTTTAGAACTTTTCTTCGGTTGTGTTTGCTTTTGTTTCTCTTCGTTGATAAAATCTTTACCTACTTCACAGTTTACGCTTTTATTAGGATGACTGCTTATAGAAATGTGAGCCGAAGATATTATAAACTGTTTAATGTTTGAATATATGATCTTGGACTAGTGTTTCAAATCCCTTTCTTTGGTCTACTTTTTTCTCGCCTATGCAATTTCAAATAAATATATCATGCATGGTTAATGAGTAGTGCGTCTTACTATTTTACAAAACCTGATCAACAAATTGTTTTAATGAATAAAACTGATCAAAAACTCCTACACTTAAACAGAGTAAGTGCTTTGACTGTCAGTAACGAGGAAACATGGAACTTGGGAAAAGGCCAAGATAATAGTGCTTATGTTCTTAGAAAGGCTAAAGCCATCAGCCATCCTTCGGGGCTCAAGAAGTCAAACAAACAGCAAATGACCACGGCGATGGTTGCTAGAATCTTTGACGTACTTAACATACGGTGAGCCAGCAACGTCAACCCCACTTGCAGTACCAGTGATTCCTCCATTTTACAGTACCAGTGATTCTGATCGATAACAATCACTGGGCTAAATTTTCACATTTTTCCTCCATTTCCTGCCCGTAGCACCACTTCTTTCTTCCTCATGAAGTCCATTAGCTAATTTCAACGACATTGGTGATTCGTCAATCCCTTCACGGAGGAAGGATTCCAATGCTACGAGCAGTAGGCTATGGAAATGGCACAACGGAGAGAGCCGCCACTGCCACCAGCATGGCTTGCTTGCCTCAGACTATCGTGCTCTGTGAGTTTAGACACGACGCTTAGGGGGACTTCCGAAAGCATGGTATTGGTCCCCAAATGGCGGCTTAAAGAGTGAGCAAGTTTTAACATTGTTAGCTCTAAGTATGGTAGACTAGCATGTGGATTGATCTTTCTGTTTAGTGCAATTAATTGAGGATGAAAGATGAGCTTAGAACAACTACGTTATCTAGAATTCATGATACAATCTGCTATTGTTCCTTACTAGGTAGAGTGATGTTAACCGAGGAAGGTTATGATAACGTTTTATTTTGGACCAAAATTTTCAAAAAGAAAATGAAAGTACACTAGTCTTTGCAATTTTGTAAATTCCAAAAGACATGATGTTGAAGAGGGCCCACAAACTATGACCGAAACATTAG